TGTTTTATTAAATTGAATACAAGATAGAAAATAATTTTCTAAATTTGACTGTAAATCAGGATTTTGGCAAATCCGTATGGCTGACGAATCTATTGAATAGACTGTATTTACATGTCCTGAGGGACATTATGAATGGTTTGTTATGCCTTTTGGATTAAAAAATGTATCACAGGAGTTCCAGCGAAAAATAGATACCATATTTAATAAACACTCAAAATTCTGTTGTGTTTACATCGACAATATTCTAATCTTTAGTCAAACTAAAGAAGAGCATAGAAAACATCTTGAAGTTATATTCAACGAATTCATAAGATAAGGACTCATTATAAGTAGTAAAATAATGATATTAGAAAAACAAGACATTGAGTTTTTAGGTTTATACATAAAGAACGGAAAAGTAGAATTATAATCTCATATTGTTAAGAAGATTTTAGACTTTCTAGATAAAATAAAAGAAACTAAATTACTACAAGCATTTTTAGGACTATTAAATTATGGTCGCAATTTTATTCCTAAATTAGGATAGCTAGTTGGACCATTTTATTCAAAACTAGGTAAGCATGGACAAAAATATTTTAATACTCAAGACATAGAATTAGTTAAGAAAATCAAATCTCTAGTCACCCAGTTAGAACCCTTACAACTCCCACTTGAAAATAGTTATAAAATAATCCAGACAGACGCATCAGCTCAAGGATGGGAGGTTTACTTCTTCAAAGACTTACAAAAGAATTTTCTCGAGATGCAGAACAAATTTGTCGCCATACTAGCGGAACTTTTAATAAAGCACAATCTACTTTACCCTCAACAGATCTAAAATTTTTAGGAGTGACCAACTCTATAGAAAAATTTCAGATATTTCTTGATAAAGAATTTCTTATAAGAATAGATTGTGATAAAATAGTTAAATTTACAAACAAAGCAAAGTAATAACGGATGTCTGCAAAAAAATGGATTTTCTTTATTGACTGTATTACTGGAAGAGGTTTTAAACTCATATTTGAGCATGTCAAAAGAAAAGACAATTATTTAGCAGATATTCTATCCCGTTTACTAATTGATTGTTAAATTTTGCAGGAATGGAAATCAAGAGCAATAACAGCAATAGCCTTATACCAGACACTTCTAATCCTCTTTTGATTATCCAAAACCCAGCTCAACAGTTCCGCGCTAGATATAATCTTTTTCCTGACTAAAAACTTATTTTAGATAATATTTGGTTTTCTAGAAACAACCCCGATAGAACCCTCGTTAGAAATCTAAATACTTTAAGTGAATATTTTATATTATCTAATAAAGTATATTAGAGTCTACGGTAAGAACATGAGACTCTTATATCTCATTATAAAAAGTTAAATCTAGCTTATCAAAAAACGACAGCAAAACCCACAGAACTAACTATTTCTGAACAAAGGACTGATGAAGATGAAAATCTTCAAAAAGTTCAATTTTTGCAGGTACAAACCAAGTATGCCAGGTTATTACCCATGTTCTCTCTAACCTACAGAGAAATCTTGAGACAACAAGTTGAACTTTTTTTTGATGACATCAAAGATCTAATCCTTCAAGAAGTCAAGTCTGATGGTATCAAGGAATGGGTTGATATCAAAAATTACCTCAGAAACAATAGTCCACCCAAGAGAACCCGTTATAACTATTTGTTGTAGCTTGAGTTAACTTGACTATAGGCTTTAGAGTACAATTTAAAAACATAATTCAAAAGCATTTAGTACCAGAATTGTCCTGTTATATTGTATCATTTTGTGGATATGACTATCAAACCTAAGCCATACTTGATATTGGAGCATCTAAAAACATAATTCAAAAACATTTAGTACCAGATGAAGCTTTAGTAAAGTTGTGGGCTGTTATCTCTGTGTATGCGGGCCAAATATGCATCAGTACTGGCAAGAACGGGCCAACAAGCCAACAGTTTGAGTCGAGTTTCCTGTTTGTATAAATCGTAGGAAAAAATAGGTATAACAGAATACATCCTACTATTGCTGCATTGTCGACTCTGATAACACCCTGTAAAAATGCCTGAACACCGGCAAGAACGAGCCAACAAGCCAACAGTTCGAGTCAACTCACAGAAGAAATTGCCAATTTAATTCTAAGGCTGTTTGTACTGGTTGGATTCAAGAAAATTTTAAAATCTACACTGTCTGGCTAAATAAAATCTATATATCTGATCTTTTTGTCGACCGAAGTCTGATACCAAATTGTCCTGTCATATTGTATCCTTTTGTGGATATGACTATCTTAATATGTTTACTGAATTCTCTAGTAGTCATTGTGTAATTGGGAAAACATCCTACTATTGCTGCATTGTCGGCTAAATCTATTTCGGCGCTTGCTATTTGTGCTTGTTGATGGTTATTCCATCGGTCATTATAAATATAAGCAAGTGCTCGAGTTCCTATTTCTGCTCTGTTTAATTCTACTAATCCTATCATTATGACGCCTAAATGCATGAGTTCTAAATTATTATCATTTAATTCTTGACATGCTTCGGGTGTTATAAGGTCTAAAATAACTTGATTGTTAACTGCACTTATTTTTCTTTGGCTAAAATGATTATATATCTTACTCTGAAAATCTAATAAATTATTGGAATAAGGATTAACTTTATTTTTTACCTTCTTCATTTCGTGTTCTATATATTTTTTAGCATCATGTTCATTATCATATAAATTTTCTACTCTCATTATTTCTTTGGCTTTTCTAAGGATAATGGCCATTGTAATATTTGTTTATGAGGTTGTAACAAATTTACTCGCTTGGTGGTTACAGGTGAGTATTGATTTGACAATTTTATATCCTTTATTTTATTTGATAATTCAAATAATTCTTTAGAGGATTCTCTGGGAATACTTTCTTGTATCACTTCTATTTCCTCTTCAAGTTTATTAACTTTATCAGATAATTGTAGTAATAACTAGATTAAAAAATTATTTTGTCTAATATGTATATTAGTTGATTGCACGTCTGTTTTAAAACTTGTAAATCCTATGGGTTCTTTATCAATTTTGTAAAGTTCAGCTAACGCACTTAAATAATCAGGATTATTAGTGCTCACAAAACTATTGTAATAACCTCTGGATATCGGTTTTAAGGGATTTTAAGTAGTCTATAATTTTTTTTTGATTTTTAGCAATATTTTTAATATCACTATTGATATATTTAATTGCGACTAATATTATCTCGTTATCCAAATTATTTGGACTAGAATTCTGTACTACTTGTTCTTTAATATAATCAAGATTCTCTCCTAGTCATTTTATAGAGTTATCTAAATTATTAAAGTCTATTTTATTTATAAACTAAAATCGTTGCCGTCTAGCTTCTAAAATATTATGTATTAAGAGAATTTTAGATCTAAGTTCATCTATTCTTCGTTGTAGACTACGCGTTGTGTCTCCTAATTCTAGTGTTATGTAGCAGTTCCTAAGTGCTATTTAGCAAAATTCTAAAACTTGCACAAGTTGTTCTTTGGGTAAATCGTGCATAAAGTAAACTTCTAGGGGTGAAAATATAAATTTAACGTACTAAAGAGTTCAAATAAAATACTTTGACTTTTAGTTTATGTTAGGGTAAATATGCAAACTACGTTCTTTTATAGGTAATATACCTTTCTTGCTACTACTTATATGTAAATTTCCCTTATAAAAAGTTCTTTGGCTTCACTTTCTCCATAAGTTCTTTGGCTTCACTTTCTCCATCCTCCTTATGGTATTATACATATGTATAATACCAGCATGTACTTGATGTTGACTTGTGTGTAGGGTTGCAACTTGGGCTGCCCCAATCCAGCTCAGTCTCAACCCAGCCTCAATTCGAAGCGGGTTGGGTTGGGTTAGCCCGAATTGTACTGAATATGGGTTATGGTCATAACCCAGACAGAATATTTTCAGACGGGTTGAGTCTGGTTGACGGTTTGAGTTTTTTTTTTTTTTTCTCCAAAATTTTGGATTGGGCTTGGGTTAGCCCGCCCAAGTTGCAGCCTTACTTGTGTGTTCGTTCCGCAAGTGGGTTTAACCTAATTGAGATTTTTTAATCCATGAAGTCCGATCCGTGCAACTCTCATAGAAATGAGAGTTGTGTAAAAGTGACAATGGTTTCTAGAGAGTGATGTTTATTATATAACTAAGCATGCCATCGATAGCAGTGGGACTGAGCAGGATTGCAGAGGAAAATCACACAACTCTTGGGTCCTCTTAGAGTAACCAAATTATAATCATAATTCACCAAATTGTTATATATCATCTTTAGTGCGAGCAGGTAATATAAATTTTTTTGGACTTTGTGTGGTGCTTGAACACGACTGAGGCATTAGCTCGATGCTTTCAGTTTGGTTCATTATAAAGTGTGTATCCGTAGTTAAGTTCCATCGTCAGTCGGAAAAGGTGGGTGTGTTGGTGGGCGCTTACTGCCCAGTAAAAACACCATTGTAAAATAGAAATAAAGCAAAAAAGAAAAATAATAAGAAAAAAAAACATATATTATTGAATCTTTCTTTCATTTAAAAAAACATTATTATTTAATTATAAAGGATTAGAAAAAGATAGAAAGGCGGCTGTCGGAGGCCAGATTGAACTTTAGTGTTGTATGCATGCTAGTGGCGGAGGGCCTCTGCTGGCCAACTTGCAGCGGATTATAAAATTATGAATTATGGTGAGAGAGATATAATTGTAACATTAGGATAGTACTAATACAATATTTTAATTTAATTCTAAATATAATACATATCCTTGTCCGGCTGCTGTTTCAAATTACGATTACCTCCAAGAGTTTTGACAAATAGGCAATTGAATGAATTACTGCACCAAATAGATATGTATGTGGTGACATCATCATCTTTGTTCTCTTGTCCCATCTTTAGCTTTATAAAAAGTTCATTAGCTTCACTTCTCCATCCTCCTCAAGATATGTCTTCTTATATATATCCATCATCCTCAATCTCTTTTGGTCATAACATATATTCATTCCTCAATCAAAAGCCTCAATAATAAAAAGCCTGTATTATATATATAACACAAAGAAGGTCCAAGAACATGGAAGTGGTTGAAGACATTGTGATTGTTGGAGGTGGAATAGCTGGCCTTACCACATCCTTAGGACTTCACAGGTACTACATGAATATATGCACTAAATCACACACACACACACACACATATATATTATATAAAGCAAAATTGGTTAATTTTGTGCAGGCTGGGAATCCGGAGCATAGTGTTGGAATCATCAGATAGTTTGAGAGTTACAGGATTTGCATTTACAACTTGGACCAACGCTTGGAGGGCGTTGGATGCCATCGGCATCGGTCAGTCCCTTCGCCAGCAACATCAACTGCTCTATGGGTAAAATTAACTGCTCTCTCTCTCTCTCGCTCTTTCTCCGTCACATTAATGACGTCTGCTTGTTGTGACTTGTGAGTGCCAGTCACTGTGTGTTTATATGTGTAATGTGTTCACGTTAGATAACGAATGGACCACCCTCCTTCTTTATAAGGTCTCTACATTTGTTCACCCGTCTGTTCTAAAATAAATGGCTTAAATTATTAGCGAGGGTGTTATTTTAATATTTTTTAATTTTTTTTAAAGAAGTAAAAATTTAATATCGTTAAATTTACTGTTGAGATATATAAGTATTAGTATGTTTATATACATACGTATGTGTGTAACAAGTAATATTTTTGTTAGCATGAAACTGATGTCTGGTTATCTGAGTGCAGGATAAAGACCAACTCTATAACTTCTGGACTTCCCACTTCAGAAGTGTCATTTGAGACCAAAGGGGCAGGGTAATTAATTTTTACATAAGCAAAATCATAGAATATTTATCATGTTCAATAATTATTTAATTTTTCCAATTGGTCTTTCTGTATCCTGAATTTCTGACCGTTTGATGATGTGAATGTGTTGTGATGTAATTATAGTGGGGCACCCAATGAAGTTAGATGTGTGAAGAGGAAGTTGTTAGTGGAAACCCTTGAAAAAGAGCTGCCAAGTGGCACCGTCAAGTACTCCTCCAAGGTGGTTTCTATTGAGGATTCAGGCTACTTCAAGCTTCTCCATCTTGCTGATGGAACTATTCTCAAGGCAAAGGTAAATATTGATACAATTACACACATTAATCATACTTATAAACTATTAATTATGATGAATAACTATTTAATCTATTTTCACTGTATATGTCATTATGAGATTGTCTAATAAGAAGTTTATTGAGTTCATGCTCTCAAATTTCAAACATTAGAACAAGAAGTATTGAAGGCCTAGGGCCACATCAACAGAAGCAAAGAAGTTTTTCTCCATCTCTTTGTCCAATAGTTGAAGATATAATTAAACAAGATTCACGCGATTCACTCAAAATTTAAGGAACAATCTGAGTTACATGAATTTTTGACTAAAAAGAAAATTCAAAATAAATAATCCGGATTCCACTGTATTGTTATAGAATTGGGAACTACTTGTAAGTGTAAAAATAACAAAATAACCTCCAAAACAATCCGCAAATTTGATTACAGTAATATCAAGCTCCACACTTCCTATCACTACTCACTAGGTAACTATTCCTTTATACCACTGTCCACACACACACATACATTATTACTGAGTGATGGGTTCACATATGTATATTTTGAGTACCATTCCTTTGGAGTTAGGATCCATGATTTTATCTATATTTCCTTGCTACACACACACACACACATATATTATTACTGAAGATTTGAGACGATTAATTACTAAAATCTCATTTTCCATGGATGTGTGAATGAAAGGTCCTGATTGGGTGCGACGGAGTAAACTCAGTGGTGGCAAAATGGCTGGGATTCAAGAAGCCTGCTTTCGTGGGTCGATCCGCAATTAGGGGCTATGCAGATTTTAAGACAAGCCATGACTTTGAGCCCAGATTCATACAGTGTGCTGGGAAAGGTGTCCGAATTGGTTTCCTTCCCTGTGATGATAACACTATTGATTGGTTCTGCACCTACATTCCAACCCCCAAAGGTATGCTCTTCATGCTATACCCTATGTAAATGGGCATTAATGCATGTTATGATCTTTATATGGACTGCAAGTAACAAGTAATCAGCCCAAAATTGACCTATTACATTTTGTTTTGTATAGACTGACTTCCTCTTATATAGAGAGTTGTGATACAGAGGTCGAGATTCGGACACATCCAATTAAATTTTTGTAAGTAGGGAAGGGATGACTTCATTATATTTAATGACATTGTGATGACATCGTCCTCTACTCACATAAAACAATCAGATGCACTTTCGAGCTACTTATCATTATTCCCTTATATTTTTTTGATACCATAGTGTATAATTTTCATATCTGGTAAATGATACATATAGACAAAGAGATGGAAGAGAACCCATCAATGATGAAGGAGTTTGTGCTGAGCAAACTTGAAAAACTACCTGACCAAGTGAAGGCTGTTGTTGAGGTCACTGAATTGGATAGTATCATAAATTCTCCATTGAGATTCAGACTTCCATGGGAAATATTATGGGGAAATACAAGCAAAGGTAATGTCTGCGTGGCAGGCGACGCGTTCCATCCCATGACACCAGACATTGGGCAGGGTGGGTGCGCCGCGTTGGAAGATGGTGTTGTTTTAGCTAGGTGTTTGGCAGAAGCCTTGTGTAAGAGGAAGTCAAGTCGCCGAACAGAGGTTAAAATTGCTGAAGAGGAAGATGAACGTGAGAGGATTGAGATGGGGTTGAAGAAGTTTGCTGAAGAAAGGAAATGGAGGGCCTTTAAGCTCATTAGCACAGCTTATATGGTGGGTTTTATACTGCAAAATGATGGGATGGTGATAAGCTTTTTGAGAGACAAAGTATTGGCTGCATTCCTATCGAGGTTGCTACTTAAAAGGGCTGATTTTGATTGTGGGAAGCTTTGTATTTCTTGATTCATTTTTCTTTTTGTTTTGCTTTTCTGTCCAGGTCCCTATTAAAGATTTCATAGGGCTTCTTTTGAGATCAAATAGGCCGTATAATAAAAATGAATAAGGTAATCTGCCTTGAGGACAGTCTGACTGGTCTTTCCGCTTTACACATGATTGATCTACTCGTCTAGTCATAGCCTCTTTATTTGTGGATGATTAATATTAATCTTAAGTTATTTGTAGACATACCATGGCGCCTCTTCCATATGTATGTGTTAATTACCTGTTATTTATTTATTTATTTTATTTTATTTTTTATTCAAGCAAATATTACTATATATGTTATGTCTATACCGAGTTTCAAACACTCAATCTCTTTAGAAGGAGAATTTATACAATATGAGCTAATGATATTCCGCTTTGAAATTAAAGATTATTGAAAAATTATCTTTCCTCTTTCCAAAAAATACTGATTAACGCATCCTAAAAAAATTTCTCGAGAGTTCTTTATTATTTTTACAGGAAAAAAATAAATCAAGATTCTCAAAAATGCAATTATAGATACGGTTAAAATTTTAAAACCCTTCTTACTTTCAAATTTTGATCATAAAGTTCCAAACTAGTTTATGGGGGACAGATTGAACTTTAGGACTGTAGGCCACTGGCTGGCTGCTTGATTTGCTTAGAGGTTCCCCCTCCTGAATACATTTTCATCCTTGGTCATCACAAATATATACTAGTAATATAATACAATATTTTAATATAATTTCATAAGATATAAATATAATATACTAGTAATATAAGTATAATACATATCAATGTCCGCCACTACTGTTGTAAAATTAAGATTTTTTTTTTTTTTTTTTGGCAACCAAAATACCATTACATAACAAAATTACATAAATCTTCCTTGGTTACTGCAAGGATATCAACATACAAATATTCAATCACCATAGCATACATGAGTTCAATCCCTGAGGCTTTGATATTAGCCTGGCCGATAGAACTTGCAAATTGAAAATAGAGCGAGATGGAGCCAAAATATTATAGCAAGAGCGATGCTCTCAGGAGCTCCAAATACATCCCCTTCTCCTTGAGCCAAGATTCGTACTAGACCACCAATGTCCACTTGTCCATTCACCGTACCCAGCCAAAGCGGTTGCCTAACTTGATGAGTCATTGCAAGCTGCAAAAATCTGCCAGCAATCTGAGCACATCGATATTTAGCCTCTAAGAGCATTCGCACCAGTCTCTTCGAATTTTGACTCTCTAAAAACGCTACATCACCTTTTCCAAGAGCCACATCAGCAATTCCAAGAGCCACTTCAGCAGTTTTCGCTCTCTAAAAACATGCAGCCTATTAGGCTCTCCGAATTTTCGCTCTCCAAAAATAATAATAATAAAAAATTAAAATTATTAATTTTTTTTTTACTTTTCCTAAATGGCTATATTTTTAAAAATTGAATTTTTAACCGCTATATTTGTAACGGCTATATTTTTAAAATTTGAATTTTTATCGACAATATTTTTAAAATTTGAATTTGTAACGGCTATATTTTTAAAATTTGAATTTTAAACTGCTATATTTTCATCTTATATAATGAAACTCATTTGCTCATTTGAAAATCATCACTATAATCATCTCTCTCCATTGTAGCAAAATATCATTATCCATCTTTTTCAATTTCGAAATTCGAATGGCTTAGTCATCACAAGCTTTTCCTTTGGCAGACTCTAATTCTTCATCTTCCTCGTTATCCTCTTCGGAAGGTGATCCTTTTGGGGCGTTGATTCAACAGGATCAAGACGAATTCTATAAGATTATGAATTCGGTGAGGCCAGAGATAGTCGAACAAGTATTTCAAGTTCGTAAAAAGAAGCGGTACATTCATCATGACCGAGAGGGAAGCCACTATCAGCTAATGAAAGACTCCTTCAACGAGAATTGCACATATCCAACGGAGGATGCGACAAGAACTTTTTCTTCGTATCCTTAATGATGTCTAAGCTTATGATGACTATTTTGTCCAAAAAAAGGATGCAACTGGTCGTTTGGGGTTGTTTTCTATACAGAAGATGACAACTGCTGTTCGTATACTCGCATATGGTTGTGCAGCCGATCACTATGATGAGTATATTAAAATCGGCGAGAGCACTGCCATTAAATGCTTGAAGGCATTTTGTAATGTTATTGTTGCTGTGTATGCAGAGGAGTATATGCGCCCACCCAACGAAGCCGACATAGCACGGTTGCTTGAAGAAAGGGAGTAGAGAGGTTTTCCGGGTATGCTTGATTCTATCGACTGTATGCACTGGGAGTGGAAGAATTGCCCAGTGGAGTGGCAAGGCACACATAGAGGACGATCTGGTAAGAATACTCTCGTATTGGAAGTAGTTGCCTCACAAGATTTGTGGATCTGGCATGCATTCCTAGGAATGCCGGGTTCACACAATGATATAAATGTGTTGGATCATTCCTCGGTATTCAACGGCATCATCAATGGCCAATTACCTTCGGTTAATTATGTAGTGAATGGACATCACTATAGAATGAGGTATTACCTATCTGATGGTATATACTATAAGTGGGCAACTTTGATGTAGACCATCCCGCACCCAACCACTACAAAAGAAAAATTATTTGCTCAACGACGAGAGGCAGCAAGAAAAGATGTGGAACGGGTTTTTGGGGTATTGCAGATCAAGTGAGCAATAACGCAAGGACCAGTGCGTTACTGGGAGAAAGATGACTTGCACCTCATAATGAAAACGTGCATCATCCTTTACAATATGATCATTGAAGATGAGCGTCATGCAAATGTTGGAAGATAGAGTCCGCCACCGGAGGATGTAATCCCAATTCCCACTTTAAGTCGATGCCCATCAGTTTTAGCGACACACATATCCTCTCACCAACTTCAGATTCGTAATAGAGAGACAAATACGCGGTTGAGGAATGATTTGATGGAAAATTTGTGGAACCGCTCTGCTGATGAAGATGTTTAATTTATGTTGCATTTTATTTGCTTTTAAGATGTTATGACATTTCGTGTACTAGAATTTTTATTATGTAATGGTTTTTTAAGATTAAAAATAATGAATTGGAATAAGAAAATAAGTATTAGAAAATTCTATGGGAATAAGTAGAAGAATTTGTAATTTTTATTTATTTTTTTTTACAAAAAGTGTTAAAAAAAAGTTTTATTTATTTATTTTTGGCCCAAATAAATAAGGATTACAAAATAAGGATTAAAAATAATGAATTGGAATAAGAAAATAAGGATTACAATTTAAACCAAAAAAAAAAAAAAAAAAATTTAAGGCAAAAAACCAAAAAAAATAAAAGCTTTTTGAATTTATTTTTGGCCCAAATAAATTTCAACTATAAGGATTACAAAATAAGGATTACAAATTAAGGATTAAAAATAATCAATTGGAATAAGAAAATAAGGATTACAATTTAAAGCAAAAACAAAAAAAAAAAAAAAAAACAAATTTTAAGAAAAAAAAAAAGCTTTTTGAATTTATTTTTGGCCCAAATAATTTTTGTTTTAAGGATTACAAAATAAGGATTAAAAATAATGAATTGGAATAAGAAAATAAGGATTACAATTTAAAGTAAATTTTTTTTTAAAAAAAAAAACAAAATTTAAGGGAAAAAACAAAAAAAAAAAAAAAGAAGAAGGTTTTTTAATATATTTTTGGCCCAAATTTTTTTTTGAACAAACAATGCCTAAACAATATGTTTTTTATTTAATGAATTTTATTTTATTTTTTTCCCAAAAAAAGTATCTCTAAATAACCTATTTTAAGGTTTTTTTTTTATAAAAAATATCTACTTAAGGCACTGTTTGGCTACTGTTTGTAGCTGTTGCAAGAAGGGCCCAAAAATAGGCAGCCAAACGGCGCCATTTTAATCCAGAAAAAATAAAAAAAAAATATCACGATCGCGGGCCAGCTCGCTGAATACCGCGAGCCGGCCCGCGATCTTAATCTGGGCCCCACCATTATAAAGACCCCGCTGCACAGACCCGAAGGTGATTGGGCTCGCGGAAAGGGCCTTCCGCGAGCCCACTGCGGATGGCCTAAGAGTAGTCCAATACCCATGACATAAATTCAACTTCACAAGATGGTCCCTTCTATATCCGCCCACACGAGGATTGAATAAGAGACATAACCTAGAGAAGTTGGCTCAATAGAGTCAACCCAATCAGTCAGTGGGTTAATAGTTGCACCTAGGCCTAAGCCCACTGCGAATGGATATAAAAATCAAGAATATGCCAATAGGGTGAACCTGAGGCCCAATGTCCAGGGGCCCAGCAAACCCATACCAGAGCCAAGGAGTTTTGGACAAATAGACAGTTGAATAATGCACCGAATACATTCGTATGCGGTGACATCATCAACTTTGTTCTTTTGTCCCATCTTTAGCCCTATAAAATGCTCCTTCAATTTCTCCTTCCACCCAGATTCATCCTCCTTGAGATATATCTTCTAATGTATATCCACATCCTCCATCTCTTTGGTCAAAACATATATTCATTCCTCAATTAAAAGCCTCAATAGTCAAAAGCCAGTATAATATATATATATATATATATACTTACTACTATATATAACAGCAAAGAAGGTCCAAAAACATGGAAGTGGTTGAAGACATTGTGATTGTTGGAGGTGGAATAGCTGGCCTTACCACATCCTTAGGACTTCACAGGTACTACATGAATATATGCACTAAATCACACACACACACACACATATATATATTATATAAAGCAAAATTGGTTAATTTTGTGCAGGCTGGGAATCCGGAGCTTAGTGTTGGAATCATCAGATAGTTTGAGAGTTACAGGATTTGCATTTACAACTTGGACCAACGCTTGGAGGGCGTTGGATGCCATCGGCATAGGTCAGTCCCTTCGCCAACAACATCAACAGCTCTATGGGTAAACTTAACTGCTCTCTCTCTCTCTCTCTCTCTTTATCCATCACATCAATGACGTCTGCTAGTTGTGACTTGTGAGTGCCAGTCACTGTGTGTATATATGTGTAATGTTTTTGTTCACTTAGGTCAGTTTGGTGCAATGGAAAAGGGCGGAAAGGAAAAGGAAGGTGATAGAGGGTGATTAAAAAATTGCATGTGTTTGGCATAAAGGGTTGGAAGGTTATCAAGACTTAAATAGTAACTTTTGTATCCTCTCAAAAATGGGAGGAAATAGAAAAAGAGAGACGGAGAGGCAAATCAAGATTACACTTTTTAGTTTGCAAAATAAGAATTACAGACTTTGATTAGTTATTTAGAAAAAAATTTAAAACAAAACCCATACATACAAGTTATGCAGAGAGTTGAGAGACAGCGGGCTAGCGGCTGAAGCTTACGAATGGCGAACCCGAACTGGAACAGCGGGCAATGGAAACTAAAAGATATGG